AACGAAACACTATTACATTGCGTTTTATTCACAAGATACATTGCAAGTCGGGGCCTGAGCGCATTAACGGTCAGAGCAAGAAATTGCAGGCGTCACATCTTTCTGCATAGGCAAATGCAGAAGTAGCAACAGGTCTAAACCTGAGGTTATAAATGTCCCTTATGCGTCACATCACCGAACTAAACTGAAGCTCATCGGCAGACACAATGAGAATTAAATTACTCCATTTACAACTAATTTTTGGAAACACAATTGAAAACTGACAAATAAACATGGAAAACCGTTCAAACTAGGCAATGTTTTCAATCTTGCTTTAATAATATCTGTCTGAGCAGAGACAATGCATAATTTAACAACATGTAACATTTGTGGTCTGAGCGAACTGATCGGCTGCTAAATTAGACATTGTTACGCCATCGCCGACTCTTAGCTGATTGGTCATTGTTACGGAAACAAGAGAGGTATGTTCAAATATGTGGACACATAGGGCAGAACTAAATATTTTGTAATTAATTTCCCGAAAATGATATGCGTTGCCAGTATCTGTAACAGGAGGCGGACAACTCGACCATAACGCATCAGAGACAGCTTCGACTACTCAGGGTACCGGTAATTAGGCTTGCACGTAATTTACGGATTTACGGAATTACGTAATTATTTGGAGTTACGGAAGGGAAGTTACGAATTACGTAAAGTCGTAATTATTGCATTGAAACGAGCTTTCTTCAAAGCAGTCAATTTCGTCGATTGCGAAAAATGAAAGCTCAACAAGTAGAAGAAGTTAGAGTTCCGGTATTCGCAGCCGTTTTTCACTCTCTTGTTGCGTAGGTGAAGGAAGGCATGACGCGTTGCCATTTACTAACCTATTATCAACTTATCTGGCGTGGCCAATGTAAATTATTAACGTAGTTTTAAGGGGAAGAACTGAGTAGGGCCGCTTGACGCCAACACACCTGGTTTTAACTTCTCTCGCATCTTATCTAGCATGGCCATGGCCAATGTACATAATAACCGTAGATAGGGGGAAGAATTGTGCTAAGACCGATAAACGCTAACACGCCCGGTTTCAACTTCTTCGGGTGAAATGACTAATGAACGCAGGAGATCAATCTATCGAACATGGTCTATCAAACATTTGTATCCATTTTACTTTTATTTATTATTTACTTGTTCCAGTTTTCCGTTACTTATGGTATAAATGTTCCGTTTCTATTTTATTATATTTTATAGTCACGCGTTTGAATAGTGGGAATTCCCCACCAAGTGTGGATTAGCAATGCTTAACCATTCTTTATTGTTAATATCAACACTTGATATATGAACATGGGATATCATACTGTTTTTGGCTGTTTTATTTCAGACTTGGGGTATAAACAGGAAAATATCCATAACCTTTCAACACGACGATCTTGTGAAATTTAACGAAGAGCTTTCGCAACGAATTGGAACCAAATAAGCGAAAAGAGCGATTGATCACTCGCGCCAATACCTCGCCGTGATAATTAATGTCGCGCTTATCAAATAGCGATATGACGACAAAAGAGAGATTGGGTAATGAACCAAAACGACGGATTCCTCGCGGACCGTTAAAAATTTACCTGCTATCATATATAATCAAATATGAGGCTGTGTGTTTATTCTGTGCGAGATCCATTCTCTATTACAAAATCTTGATGTTCTGTTAACGGTTTTATCGTTATATATCAGTCCGGACTTGGCCTTGCTCATGATGTTTTTCACAATTCCTCTCAATATTTCGGCCATATATGATTAACTGTCTTACCAAATGCGGCAACTTATTTTGATTTATTGTCGACTTGAATACCACCGGCACTCGACCAAACTTGTGTCAATCTTGGCCGATAGGATCGCCGACTTGAGTTAGCAAATAAATGTTGTGAGTGTAAAATAAATGTCACAAAATGCATTGTTTTGCGATATAACTTTGTATTTTCGGAGAAGGCATGTCATATAAGTTCGGTATTTAAATTATACGCAAATAAATAATATTTGATCTAAATTTATCGCAAATAATGTTATAAACATTCAGTCCGCGAAATGATTGAATGTATAATGAAGCATGGTAATCGGAATATCGTCAATAAGTCGACATCAATAATTATTATTATAAAAATGCTAACAAGGCAGTAATGTCGGATAATGCAGAAAACGCTGCAAAAACAAGTCTTCGTCGCGAGGAAATCGCAAGTATAATCAAATGAGAGAATACGCTCGTTGTTGGTTAATAAATTAGAAACCCGTAATTTTTATTCAGTACTAAGGTGGTTTTAAAAAACTATCGTTTCCATAAATATCCGTATACCAGTGTCGGTAATGATAAAATAAAATTGATCGCATAAAAATGGGACGGTTAATTTGCGAAGGTGATAAAGAAAAACCAAAGCTAACACAAAAGATAAAAATCAGACTAAATTTATTTGAATTCACTCCTTGATAGTTGTCTTTAACATCTGCCGCCGGCGTGTAGTACTGCCAAGAATAGGAAAACCCAACTTCAATGTCCCATTCGGAAAAAAGTGGATTCAATTGGTTGTTACGATAGGTTTAAATGCGTGGAAAAATATCGCAATTACGGGGTCATTACGTAATTGATTTTGCCGTAATTACGGAATTGATTTTTGTCAATTACGTGCAAGCCTACCGGTAATAGTACAGGGACTGTCATAGCTAGACCCTGTGACGACGAGCCATTCTTCGTGATTCAGTTCAACGTGAATTAAAATACCAACTGATCCGGGTCCCTTTGGTATTACAAGATCAGGTACCGCAGTATATACCTCCTAAAAACTTCTCACTGCGGCTAAGCACGAGATCCACCAAAGTTCGCTGATCACGAGATCCGCTGATATACGTTCGCGGAACCGCCAATAGGTGCGATGATTTTGATGACGTCTTAGCACAAAAAATAAGAAATCCCATAGAATTCACTCAAATATTTGAAAAAAAATAAAAAAAAGAGGCCTTAAAGCAAAAACAAATCTTTAACTACTGAAAATTTAAAATAAAAGCCTGAAAATAATACCTGAATTTTTAAAAAAGATTCTAATATGAACCCGCCCCTTTAAAATACGGTCTAGTCCATAGCGTGAATTTTTTTTAGTCGATAGCAAGCAATCTCTTCTACACGTTTTAAATCTTTTTGTGTTTGATAAATGAAAATAAAAGACATCCCCCCAAAATAAGTCCAATAAAATTGAAATACGACCCTGTCTTATTTTCGAGGAAACGTGGTATCTATAGGTCCACTTCGTGTACAATAGGCATTTGAACTCGGTAATCTTGAAACAAGATAAGAATGTATTTTTAGACATTACACCAGTGTGCACAACGTATCTCATTTTGTAATATAACTTTTTTTTTCAAAGTTGAATGCGTTTTTTCTAAGCTTCCTGATTTAGGTGTCTGTACATGTGAATACAAGTTATGTCCAAATATCCAATGCTACATCACGCAGATCATGTTTCTAGGCTCAATTGGTTAACAAATTATTGAAGTAACAGGTAACTAAGATGTATTTCGTCTCTGTGTGCATGCAGAATAAAGAATAAAACAAGTAATTGGACATATGTTGTTTATTTCCCTCATTCTGTCATCACAATTCTAACCCACCCACAAGCAACCATTGTAGGTATGACGACGCGGGGAACGTCACTACAAGTGAAAGGGTACTCCCGGTATGTTTGTCGTTGGGAACTCCTGAAGTATGCGTACCAAAATAGCGGACACCGGAACGTAGTATGTGTACCAGGTTAGGGTTAGGTCATAATTTTATTCCAATTTTCCTTATTTTAGTTCTATTACGAGTTCGGGACTAGCAAAGTGAATCCCGTAGTATTTATACCTAGAATCATGGCCTGACCAGTGAGTACCAGTGAAAGTGCTGGTTTATGGTAGGCATCATTTCGATATTTTCGACTGCAGATATTTTAAAATAAGCAACTGCCAACTCATACACCATAATTAATTAATTCAGATAGCTATGTATAAATACACCAATTCAATAGCAGTTTTGACATTCATTAGGAAATCTAATTCATTCCCAAACAAAAATAGACAGCCTTCAGTTAAAATTTATAGAAGTTAACTCTTATTTACATTATATATTGAAACTAACAGAAATACCTGAACAAACGAACAAACTTTACCATTCTGCCCAAAAGCATTACGCCGTCTGGAATAAAAAAAAAGTACTAATTTATAATCTGGTGATAGCATTCTTCATATTACTGCACCTAATATAAAATATGGGTTGTTTATGACACTGTTATTTTCTTAGTGAAAGTGCACCACGATAGCTAAACGAATCTGGCTTATGCGTGTGAGCATACTCAAATGTCTGCGTCTAAAGATCGGCACACCTTTGTTCTTCAAGATGTTATTGGAAATTGTCAGTAAATAAGTATCATACCCTGATTTAAAATCTAAATAAACAAATTGAAACTGATTAGCGTTGAGCATGTGAAGACTGATTAGGATCCCGATGCTTCGATTTGAAAAGTAAACTCTGCCTCCTCTCGACCGTCTGTCTATTCAATGAAAATCAAACACGAACGGGTTTTTGCCATTTGCCAATCTACTGATTTGTTTGCCTACGTGAAAATCATATTCAAATAGAAATAGGTACCTATTAATGGATAAGCTGACCATAGAATTCAAATTTTGTTTATTTTAAAAGAATGTTCCTCCATGTGATAAACTGACCTTGGAGTTCATGAATCTGAGCATTGACCTGTTTTGTTTTATTACGTATAAGGCTTGCATAAATTAAAATATAATCTTATTCAATTTTTTATCATAACGTAATATGCTACAAAAGAATTACTCTAAGTTTAAGTTTAATCGCATAAAAACATGATGAATTAAATATATTAGAAATAAGCTCCATTGGCATGAAAAAGTAGAAGGTACTACTTGTAATTCATTCAAAAACTTTTCTAAAATGATTTTTTTTCTTACATTATAGCAAAATAAAAACTGATCCATTTACAATTGATACAAAACAGAGAACGGATAAAACAATAATTGATTTATTGCCCATCTAATCCTTGTGGTTCTGGTTTTCTAAAAAAAAATAATAATTATTTAGCATACATGCGCATTTGATATTACAGAAAAAATTCAAAGCAGCTTTTCTTTAATCGTGAAATAGGAAATCGCAACTACTTACAATAACTTTGGACTAAGCAGGTAACATTTAACAACAAGATTATATAAATGCGTAGAATGAATATGAACACAAGTAAGTGCTTACTTTTCAACTTCCTTGCAACCTAAATCTTTTTTAGGAATGTAGTTCGATGTCTTTATATCTATGAAAATAAGAACTGGATTCTGTCATTTTAGTTTACATAAGAAAGTTAGTGCTAGGCAGAAAATAAGTATACCATATAGACGATGCTAGAAATATTTTTTCATGTGATATTTCATATCATTTTTCCTATTACAAGCCCGATAAAAGCAGCCCATTACAGTCGTATTTGAAAAATTCCTACGCTTGTATATTGGCAGAAAATTTAAGGTTCCCCGTTACAGAAATTTACCACATTTTGTGTGGGTCGATTTTTTTTCGTTTCATTTCCAAATTTTAAATTTTCTAAACAAATCAAACAAAAAAAAGGCCTCTGGGTCATTATTAATTTATTTACCAACATACAAAGCAACAAAAAAAATAAAAATAAGTGCAAAATTCTATTACCTTTGACAGACTCAACTGTTAGCATCATTCCCAAATCTTCGTGCTTTAATACATGACAATGGAACACTATTGGGCCATCGTACTCATGTACATTGAAACGAACCTATGAAAGAAAAGTTTTTCTCCATCAGGATACACCTATACCTAATTGTCGAACCATAGAACTATACAATATAATTACCGTTATGTTGGAATAAGGTGGTACATTGATTACATCTCTCCAATCACCGCTTTTCACGTAGCCCACTGATTTTCCGTTTTCTACTCCTTGTTCTAGCGCCTCCCATCGTTTCTTGTGATCCACGAACTTTTGGTCCGGATGATCAGGCCAAATAAGGTTTGGATCTTATGTTAAGAAAATATGAGATTGTATTTTGGCAGCCTAGAATTTATAACAGGCCAATTTCAAACAACACAGTGTTGTCCAGTTTATCTCGCCTGGAATCTTATAAATGTTCTACTATTGTTTCAGATGTAGAGAGCGTTCCCAAATAGTTTAATGTTCAATAAGTCGTATCCAAACATCATTGAATAACCCAATTCACTTAGTTTAAGCAACCTATCGAGATTGTTGTAATATTTGTCTGTCATTATTCGATCCAACGTATGGACTGTAAGATAAAAAAAAAGGTAATTTATGGAGCTCACCTTCGTATTGAAGTGAAGGGATACCATACATATCGTTGCAAAGGTCACCATTTTGAGATCGTAGTACGAACGTTGGATCTTCCGCAGAATAATGTTGTGATCTACCGCTCAAAGGACCTATATAATCGTTGTAACTAATAACCTAAAATAAAGTGAAGTTAATGGGCTTCATTTGGTTCATTGGTGAAGTCACATAATTAATATGAATTATATAAAAATCATTGTTATTCGGTGTTTATCAAAGCTCGGGATTTAGCCAAGCTCATTATATTCGCTCCCAGACAACTTATATTTAAAATAAACTATTAAGTTAAAAACATTTGAAATTAAAATTACGTTCTCCTTTTTATCTGCTCAATTTTAAATAGTATATGTCTATTAGTAAGAATTCTTCTGCTGTGAGATTTTTCTTTCACGAGGAAAACCACTTTCACTTTCCATTTGGTGTACCGCACGTACTTTTTTACTATATATTTAAAGAATAGTAATATGACTCGTTTATTTTCCATTTAATATTGTAGCCTCAATCAAATTTTAAAGTTTCTCATTAAAAATTGATGTTTCATATAGTACCTTACCTGGAAGTGGTTAATATGAATGTGCAATGGGTGTGGCGATTTTTGAACAGAGTTAACAAAAGTCCATTCTTGCACGCTTCCTACCTCCATTCGGTGTCTGGTCAAAATACAAAAAAGACAAATATGCAAAACAAAGATTCTAGATTGTAAAATACATACAAATTGTAGTTTAAATTTGCCATTTTTTAGTCAGCGTGCAGGTTTGTGTAACTTACACATAATCATCTTTTTTGACATATTTTTGACGATTCATGAAAAAGTCGTCTGAGAGTTCAACAGTGAATTTGTTTTCTTCTGGCACGTTATTGATATTGCGTAGGTCTTTGATGAAATCTGGTCTGGTGGGTAAAGAGGTTGGAAAACTGGGAACTGCCAAGTTGCTTTCAGTAACATTGATGGTCAAGAATGTACCATTGTATCTACGAAATGTTCCAATTGACCATTCACTATCGGGCAACGACATTGAACGGAGCTAAAAGGTTAATAAATGGAAAGGTTGGCTGCAATACGATAGCAATATATATATATACTACAATACTCTGAATATAGAATATATTATCATAGATTTATTACCAATTCCTCTTGTAAAAATGAACACACTTTGATTTGATGTTTCAATATATACAATACATAGTGTTTCTGCTATACTGCACTTTAACGCTGACATATATTTCTCAAACTTCAAATAAAAACAACTTTCCACATTTTAACGTTTGTAATTATTTTATATATATACCGTAATTTTCAATACCAAAAAATTATCCAAAAGCCGTTGGTAACTTTTTAGAATGTATTTAAATAAATTAGATACACGCGATAGTACCTAACAACCTAGTACCTGTATTATATAAGCTTCTTAAGTATTGATCAGTTAATCATTTTATTGCTAATCCTGTGATTGCGAAGAATTAAACATCCACATTTTTCTAATTTAAAAAAATAGAATTACTTGATATATTCCAGGCGCATCACAATAAATCATCCAGTCAACTCGCGCAGCAACTGCAAGATAAGTTTGTTGATATATCTGCTTTCTAGGAGCATCGAGATAAACACCATCAAATGCAATTTCTCTGATTACACATTGTCCAGTACCTCCATTATTTGCTATTTCGACCTCGAGTCCAACATAACCTCCCGCATTAGCAATTCTGAATATTCAATAATGTTTGTATAACTCATATCAACATATGAACAAGCTAGTATAGACGCCTGGAATTTCCGCTGTTACGTGAGGCCACCATCAGTCTAGGCCAGGGTTTCCCCAATTCTCTGTTCATCCGTATATCCCTTGGATAATTTACATTCTCCCGTGTACCCCATAAATATTCTCATATTTTCAACTGCTATGATGCACAGCTTATTTTCTATGAGTGGGCAACCTATTACACCTCTCTAAACTTGCTAATACTTCAATCGCTTCACTTGCAACAAAAAACCGCGCGTGATAAATTAGGCGTTTGAAATATAGCGTCTGATTCGCTGCTATCCTTTACCAGTGTGCGCGCGCAACATTAACTAATGCCACGCCCCCAATATCGGTGAATATTACCGACATTTGTCGGTGAATCAGTTTACCGACCTCATTTTTTAATTTTGTACCCCTAAAATGATGGTAAAATTTACCGAAAATTTCTTAAGAGTGTACACAGACAGACATAAAGACTGAGAATAAAGATCTCTTTGAGCGGAGTTCCAAAATATATATTTATAAATTAGAGTATTCACCGAAATCTTTTCATCTGATTTTTCTGAATTGTTAATGTAGGATTATATAGACCATTTGTTGTAAAATAATTGAATCCATTTTCAACGTTCATCAGCCAATCTTCCGTGGATTTGCTCAACCTAGCAATTTATCAAAAAAGAAAAGAGATAAAATAGAGATGATGAAAGAAAAAATTAAGAAAGACACATAAATGACACAGAACATCACAAGAAAAGTTACTGAAAAAGATAAAATACAATGAAAAGACTAGACTAGGGGAGAAATTAGTTTAAAGTATGTATGTTACCTAAAAGGATCCCCCATCTGTTCTTGAGCTCCATGTATAAAGTCCACAGAATCGTTGGTGTATTGCAACGTTGATTGAAGCAGTATATCGACGTCATGCTCACAATGATTTGGGCATGAAACGGCATCTAGTTTCACATCCATATCGGTCGATTCATCATCAACAATCAACAAACCAGATAGACCACTCATAACCTGCAATGATATTTACATATGTTTATATATGCCCAGGTAAAATAAAACCATTTTTATGTACTTATTATTTTTTCCAAGAAATACTTTTGAAAAGTTTTATATCATTCTTTTTATACGCCTTGCAGCCCGGAAAAGGCTCAGAAAAAGCTAGTATAGTATATAGAGTTAGTATATATATATATACTGTATTTTGGAAGAAAGAGAATCTTTCTTATTCGCCAATGCCTAACCAAATTAGTACACAATAAGTGAGGCTTGGAGAGATGGGGGGTTGATGCCGAGACTACAACCTAGAACCATTAGTTCGATATATTTCTCCCTTTGGCTATTTCGAACCATTATCCTTCCAATAATAAACTCTGCAGCAGAATTTCTACTCTAGCTTTTGCACTGTTTTAGTAGTTTATAGTGTGTGCATAGATAGGTTTTATAAAGAACCAAAAAATATTAGCAATATTACCAAAAATACAAATCTTCCCCACAAACGACAAAATTGTTCCCTGGAGAAGAATTCCTTCCGGTTGAAAACATGGCTTTATACATTACTCTGTCGCACTCATGAAATTCAACCGCAAAAAAAAATCTACTTTCTCAACACTCAATTTTATTGTCTATCTTTATTAAACACTTGGAATTTGAAGCAAATTGGGAAAAAATACTAAATAACCTACTTTTAAGCAGTGTATTATCCAATCCATTGTATTGTTATTTTTTAACATAGTATATCATGCGAAATATTTGTTTACTACAAATAGGAAGGTCAATACAAACCTGAAACCAGGTGGATCCGTGCCAATGAGCATGATACCAATACGTGCCAGCTGGTTGGTTTATGTTTATATTATACGAATAATTGTGAGATTTTCCAGGATCTACTCTTGTGAAGACGTCGTCACCCGGAGGCTAAATAAAAAATGAAAAGGAATACTTTTTAACTATATTGGAAAAATATTTTTATTCTTCATATTAAACAATAATTTCGAATGGAAGCATTCATGCATTGTACAAACATTTTACCAGAGAAGATATGTGCAGTCCATGTGTATGCATATTTGTAGTGTTAGGATGTCCTAGATCATTATGCTCTTTTTCAGGTTGATCTGGTCCAAGGCGGTTTTCCTGAAAATTACATATTTAATTTGTATAAAATGTCAGTCAATACTTTTCAATAATTGAATATCTCAAATTATTTTAAACGACACGTTATGTAATTTCAGTTAAAAATTGATTGATTACAATACAAACTCACTCTAAGCTATCTTATAAACCGGGAATAATAAGAACATTGTTTTACCAAATGAACATAAACGGTATCTCCAGGTTTCATTTGTATTGTTGGTCCGCAAAGATCTCCATTATAAACCCGGCGTTTTATTTTCAGCCATTCAATTTCGATATCGGCAACATCAACTACCAAATTGACGTATACTTTGTTTCCATCCCGTCTATAAACTGATGAATTAGTCGATCTACAATCTCTGAAACTTTCTCCTCCTGAAACAATAACACATATATATATAAAGCACTTCATGAAGCACATTCATGCCCCATTATATCATAGCTTACCCTGTAATGGCCGACATTCAATGCACTTGTCACAGTTCGTATAGGTCAAAAATACTACAATTAGAAGATATATTCTCAAAAAGTCGAGTTTTCGATTTTCCATTTTATTTGGCTTGCAAACTCAAACGTTCAAAACGATGTCTAAATTTTCTGGCAAACGAGCTTTTATACGCAAATTTCAATATTATTTATGATGTTTGCCTAAAGACTTACTTTTTTCAGAGAACTCAATTCAAATAATATTTAAACATTATTAAATTGAATTTCAATATGTGTGATTTTACAAACAGTCTTCTTTATTCACGTAATATCACTCGAGTCCAAATTTAATGGTTTAGTTCAGCGGTGACGGGCGCACAATTTTTAGTTGTACTACCGTATGATACCTGTTGATTTTCATCTACAAAACGAACAACGGCACCCATACAGCTGATGTTATTCAATTATATAATGCAATATAAACGCTCGGCTCGGATGTTCGAGATCCGAATTTCCATTCGAATACCACAGCATTTTTAACACAAAAGTTTGAGTCTACTACCTGCGTGTTAATGCAAAATCAATTTATAATGTACTGATTGAAATAAATTGTAGTCTTTGATATTTTATAGCAGATCTAGGGATTTCTCGGACGTTGATATAAATATTTAGTGATAGAGACAGTCAGTGATGCAGGAACATCATATTTGTATAACTAATTCGTAACATCGCAAAAATATTAATCAAAACTTAATATAATCTGGCAGTTGGAAACACTTTTTATGGCCGTGGATTGATGTGATATTTCATTGTAGTAATGTTCTTAATTTGTAGATGCAGCTGCATGTTACATTAAATACAGAATTAAAGTTAGAAAGCAATAAATTAAAAATATACTCCTATTTGTCGCCAATGAAATACTTTGCACAACTGCAAAATCGCTAAACGACAACATAACACAACAGTGAAAAACATTATCCGTCGAAAAAGTGGGCTCTTTTCACGAGTGACCTTCCTAATTGTGTCGACAGTTGCATAAAAATTTAAGGATTCGTTACGATTTACCCTTTCCCCCAATGATAATATCAACCTACGATTATCGAATCACAATTCATGACATTTTGTGTCGCGTTAATATGCAAAATTCTAGTTGATAATGCCTCAGAAAAGTATTTCGGGATCCTTTGTACAAAGATTCCTTATAAAAAACCACCGCCTTCGCTCAAAATTGAATGTAAATTATAAATAATTCAATTACATTTTTAGGGTGGGTGGGGGCTAAGAATCCAGATTGCGTCGGAAATTCAAAACCTCAAATCTTTCCTAACCCGAACCGAAACTGGATAGTTACTAATTTGTTATTTCAGAACGTAGTTTTTTTTTTTTTTAATTTCACATTTTTGCATTAGTGATGGAGGCTTTGTACAAAAGATCCGTATTTTGCAGGCCTAAGGATACAAAAATTGTAAACAAAACCCTCTAATTACGATTAACTGATTTTTAAAACATAGGCATTTTTTGAGATCTACCAATGTTTTAATCATTGAGCGGAAGTTATAAACTTTTTATCACTTTCAAATATTACGTGTATCGTGCACAAAAATATCACATTTCATAAAGTGAGATTACTCCTCTATTAAACCGTATGCGTTTGCCGATAAGAGAGCGTAACTATGCTACGACAATGGTCATTTTGATCCATTGTTAGAGATATCGATGATCCAAAAAAGTAGATGTGTTGGAAATAGTGTTGTTGCCAGTAATATGAATACGGTAACACTTGCGCTTCCGTTCTTTCTGTACAGTTCTTGGAGGTGTGTGACTTTACGCCAAACATACACTGAATTGTCTGAATGCTTCGTGGGCCGCACGAAAGTCCTTGGCGGGCCGCAGGTTCGTCACCTCTGGTTTACTTAGAGGAAGAAAGCCTGTTTGTCTTTAATATTATTTTTATTAACAATGAAATTTGTTGTTCTAGCAATACCTACGAGTATCAATTTAGGATCGAGTATTAAGGAATACTTGAGCATAAAAATCCCCAAACAGGTGATCTTTTCATTTTGAGGTATAAGGGGTTGAGGTACCTAACCGATTTTAACCAAGATGAGAACTCTTGTTTGATAAAATTACAATACAGGTCTTAAATAAAAGAAATACCTTTACCAATAAGTTACAGTTCATAAACTGTAAATAATTTTTCTCTAAATCAAACTGTGGTGGTATACCCGATGTAAACGCTATTGTACCGCAACCGCAAACCGTGATTATTGCTCGACTGCAATGCAACCAAATTTCAAAATTGAAATGAAAAATGAAATACCCCACTTATCAGCAAGAATGCATTTACAGCGAGAATCTACGTCACGAAAACTCTTTGTTCAAATACCGCGTAGGCGGGAATTGTTAAAATAATTCTTATGAAAGAGTTTAATGGTTCCATTACATTTATACCCACGTACATTTGAACCCATGACAGTTGCACCTGCATGCTATTGCACATATGGGAATTTTTTTTGTTTTACGGATAGTTGAACCCATACTAACCCTAACCCATGGGTTTCAGCACCCGCATATAGAGTGAACCCGCGGATATTTACATGGGTTCAAATGTACGGTCACCGAGTTTAAATCTTAAATAAAAGAAATACCTTTACCAATAAGTTACAGTTCATACACTGTAAATAATTTTTCTCTAAATCAAACTGTGGGGGTATACCCGATGTAAACGCTATTGTACCGCAACCACAAACCGTGATTATTGCTCGACTGCAATGCAACCAAATTTCAATAGTGGTATGAAAAATGAAATACCCCACTTATCAGCAAGAATGCATTTACAGCGAGAATCTACGTCACGAAAACTCTTTGTTCAAATACCGCGTAGGCGGGAATTGTTAAAATAATTCTTATGAAAGAGTTTAATGGTTCCATTACATTTGAACCCACGTACATTTGAACCCATGACAATTGCACCTGCATGCTATTGCACATATGAATTTTTTTTGTTTGTTTTACGGATAGTTGAACCCAGATAGTCGAACCCTAACCCATGGGTTTCAGCACCCGCATATAGATTGAACCCGCGGATATTTACATGGGTTCAAATGTACGGTCACCGGGTTTAAATCCATGGAAGACAAATTTGTTTTAATTTGTGATGCCATGTCTAACGTTTAAGAGAAATGAAAATCGTTTTGTATAGTCATAAGTAATATCGTCATATTTACATAATATTCATTTATTCAATTCATAATATTCAATTCCATACTTGAGTTTTACGGTGACTGTACATGTGAACCCATTGCGGCGAGACTCTACGTCACGAAAACTCTTTGTTAAAATACCGCGTAGGCGGGAATTGTTAAAATAATTCTTAGAAAAGAGTTTAATGATCCCATTACATTTGAACCCACGTACATAACAACCCATGACATTTGAAACATGAACATTTGAACCCATGTGTATATCCGCGGGTTCAATCTATATGCGAGCGCTAAAACCCATGGGTTAGGGTTAGTATGGGTTCAAATATCCGTAAAACAAAAAAATTTCCATAGGTGCAATAGTATGCAGGTGCAATTGTCGTGGGTTCAGATTTAATGGAACCGAGTTTTACGTAAACCCAACGCTGACCGCATCACGTCGAGAAAACTCCGCTGTATGAACATTTGAGGTCTCTCACTATCGCAAAGGATACATTAAACAATTTAGGTAAAAGCAAGATTTGATTGCGGCGAGGCTCTACGTCACGAAAACTCTTTGTTCAAATACCGCGTAGGGGGGAATTGTTAAAATAATTCTTAGAAAAGAGTTTAATGGTTTCATTACATTTGAACCCACGTACATTTGAACCCATGACAATTGCACCTGTATGCTATTGCACATATGGAATTTTTTTGGGTTTTACGGATAATTGAACCCATACTAACCCTAACCCATGGGTTTTAGCACCCGCATATAGATTTAACCCGCGGATATACACATTGGTTCAAATGTACGTGGGTTCAAATGTACAGTCACCGTAAAACTCAAGTATGGAATTGAATATTATGAATTGAATAAATGAGTATTATGTAAATATTACGATATTACTTATAACTATACAAAACGATTTTCATTTCTCTTAAACGTTAGACATTGAATCACAAATTAAAACAAATTGTCTTCCATGGAATTAAACTCGGTGACCGTACATTTGAACCCATGTGTATATCCGCGGGTTCTAAAATAAGTTGAAAATAGTTCTACCTATATGCAAAGTTTATAATAAAATAATTTGGTTGTAATCTTCCTATGTATCGTCAGTGTAATGGATTTGGTCGTTAAAATCAATCCAAGACCTGGGCTTGGATTAGTGAGATATTCCAACTAGAGTACCTTCCAACTCGAGTTCAAGTGACACATATGTCTATGATGCTATTGTGTTACAACATTCTATGCAGTTTTGCATTTGAAAAATATTTATCGAGACGTTTTTTTCAACTCAGGTATGTAATTCTGCAACTAGAAAACATTTTCAACATAACTCACATAAGAGCAGCCGGAGTCCAATTTCAAGATCAATCATCAAGGTTTGATAAATCAAGTAAATATCGAAGATGTTCAATAATTTTCGATTTTTCGTACCAAAAACAATCTTCACTCAAAAGATTCCGTTAACGTCCCCTTGACGATAAGGGGTGGACTTCTGACTCCTTGCCCCTCACTTCGTTTTATAACTATTGGTCGGTTACAATGTCCTTCACACCAATCATTCATTCCTGTATCTGAAACATGGAGCTTGTTGGATCACTAATCATTCAATCTTTAATGAGAACGACCAATTGGACTGACAATTCCACTGTGAACAATGACTGGCAACATAAATCATATTTTGATCTGGACGAATACGTCACAATTTTGTTTTTTATTCCTGCGTATATGTTTTTTCAGAATATTCAAAAAATCATCGTTTGCCTGACGTGATTAGCGCGGCTCATACTGCAGAAATGCAACACCTCATCTCAGAAATATTCTTACGAACGTCTCAAACATCGGGAGATGCCCCAAACACCTCATGTGCACTCACAAAGACATCTGTTGAAAATTTTACTCCAGAGACTTTTATACATAAACACGAATCCACGGTTAGTGAAAAAATGAAATAATTGTTGATTTTACATATCTGAATAACAATCTTGGTTTTAAAATATATTATTAAATTCTGTAACCTTCAATATTTGTTTTTTAAGCCTATAAAAGAATACCCGGAAACAATTGAATCTTCTGGTCAATGTGCATACGAGGGAATACAAATACATCCGATTATACGAAAGGCTAGAAAAGTCTACGTGCCTGAGGAATGCAAGGTAAAAATTAAATGAAAGATCTGGACGAGAAGAAAACCTTGGTCATCTCAATTTAATGTTTGGTACAATATTAGGTCATAGCCATCACATCACATTTGAGACATAATTCAGCCATTTTATCACTTTTTTTCACATCTGAAAATTACTCATATATGTATATATTGCTGCTTATAGATATTTCTCTGCTAGAATACGGAAAACTCATATTTACTGTATGCATGCATTTAATAGAAGAGCGTGAATAAATTTACATTTTGAACAATTTTGCGATACAGAATGGTAAATATTGGAAAAGAAGGTTAAAAAATAACGTTGCAGCCAGAAGATCAAGAGAAGCTAAGCGAATAAAAGAAAATCAAATCGCCATGCGAGTGAGTTTTCTACAATCAGAACATGATAACTTGCGCGCACAGGTTGCACATTTAAGGTCAACTCATTTTATTGATACGTTTCTACAACTTACTCCTTTATTGAATTATGTTACAAATTTATACTTGATAACGTTCAAGACTTCATGTATATAAAGCAGTTCTGGTCTAAATCATTTTTAATATTTGTATTGTGTTTAAATATAGTTTAAGGATATAAGTTTGACACCTTTTTCTTAAGAGTTTATCATTGCTCAATAAGCCTTCTGAGCTGTGAACGATGGAGGAGTACACAAACATCGGTATCACAGTGTCTTGGGCTATGAACTAACTAGTACCCACTACAATTTGTATGACGAATATATAAAATCATTTTATGAAAATATTCTCACTGTCTTCTTTCATCTTGCCTTAACATACAAAAATGACACAACAGTATGATAAGAAATATATATATAGTTTTTGTATAAATCCTGATAACGAATCGGTGAATTAAAAAAGTTTTATTTTTGTTTCACAGAAAAGAAATGAGGAGAATGGCTGGAACAATGGAACATAAAAGGCAACTGATATAAAAGCTCACTTAGTGTCAACAACTAAATATCGTCTAATTAAATATTATTTAACATATTATTAGTTTAAGACTCAAAATCGTCTCGTTGTAAAGATATGAAAAACAAAAATACTTTTGTGTACTTTTCATTGCGTTGTATATTCGGAGTGTCATGTACATTGGAAACCTTTTGCTCTTAATTCGCTGGCAAAACATGAACTGTTTGTAATCAAGTATTAACATCTCCGGGTCACCTCACCGGGTTTATAAGAATAACCATATTTTTTTTAGTTCCGCATGCCATATGATAGAAAGGGTACAGTACCAAACGTGATTATAGTAGTCTGAAACAGTCATAATTCTAGATAACTAAAACGGCAAAAAGGTTACATTCAACAGACGGAGGCGGGTGACTGATGTAACGTTTACAACGGATGTTTGAGAGTTCAAATAAGTGACAGCCAGCAGGCTGGGATTCCACAACAAACAGTTATATATATATCAATAAGTTTTCTTGTTTAACTCAAGCTGGTTTATATAGTGTCCATAAACATCTACATTCACTTAATGAATATTATGTAAATATTACTTATAACTATACAAAACGATTTTCATTTCTCTAAAACGTTTGACATTGCATCACAAATTAAAACAAATTTGTCTTCCATGGAATTAAACTCGGTGACCGTACATATGAACCCACGTACATTTGAACCCGTGTAAATATCTGCGGGTTTTATGAGTTCAAATATCCGTAAAACCAAAAAAAATTTTCATATGTACAATAGCATGCAGGTGCAATTGTCATGGGTTCAAATGTACGTGGGTTCAAATGTAATGAAACCATTAAACTCTTTCCTAAGAATTATTTTAACAATTCCCGCCTATGCGGTTTTTTACAAAGAGTTTTCGTGACGTAGAGTCTCGCCGCAATGGGTTCAAATGTACAGTCACCGTAAAACTCAAGTATGAAATTGAATATTATGAATTGAATAAATGAATATTATGTAAATATTACAATATTACTTATAACTATACAAAACGATTTTCATTTCTCTTTTCTCATTTCTCGGTTACCGTACATTTGAACCCATGTAAATATCCGCGGGTTCAATCTATATGCGGGTGCTGAAACCCATGGGTTAGGGTTAGTATGGGTTCAACTATCCGTAAAACAAAAAAAATTTCCATATGTGCAATAGCATGCAGGTGCAATTGTCATGGGTTCAAATGTACGTGGGTTCAAATGTAATGGAACCATTAAACTCTTTCATAAGAATTATTTTAACAATTCCCGCCTACGCGGTATTTGAACAAAGAGTTTTCGTGACGTAGATTCTCGCTGTAAATGCATTCTTGCTGATAAGTGGGGTATTTCATTTTTCATACCAATTTTGAAATTTGGTTGCATTGCAGTCGAGCAATAATCACGGTTTGTGGTTGCGGTACAATAGCGTTTACATCGGGTATACCACCACAGTTTGATTTAGAGAAAAATTATTTACAGTTTATGAACTGTAACTTATTGGTAAAGGTATTTCTTTTATTTAAGACCTGTATTGTAATTTTATCAAACAAGAGTTCTCATCTTGGTTAAAATCGGTTAGGTACCTCAACCCCTTATACCTCAAAATGAAAAGATCACCTGTTTGGGGATTTTTATGCTCAAGTATTTCTTAATACTCGATCCTAAATTGATACTCGTAGGTATTGCTAGAACAACAAATATTTTTGTCAATAAAAATAATATTAAAGTCAAACAGGCTTTCTTCCTCTAACTAAACCATTAAATTTAAACTCGAGTGATATTACGTGAATAAAGAAGACTGTTTGTAAAATCACACATATTGAAATTCAATTCAACTCCCTTATTGAATTATGTTACAAATTTATACTTGATAACTTCAAGACTTCATGTATATAAAGCAGTTCCGGTCTAAATCATTTTTAATATTTGTATTGTGTTTGAATATAGTTTAAGGATATAAGTTTGACACCTTTTTCTCAAGAGGTTATCATTGCTCCATAAGCCTTCTGAGCTGTGAACGATGGAGTACCCAAACATCGGTATCACAGTGTCTTGGGATATGAACTAACTAGTACCCACCACAAATTGTATGACGAATATATAAAATCATTTTATGAAAATATTCTCACTGTCTTCTTTCATCTTGCCTTAACATAAAAAATGACACATCATAAGAAGTATCATAAGAAATATATGTATAGTTTTTGTATAAATTCTGATAACGAATCGGTGAATTAAAAAAGTTTTACTTTTGTTTCACAGAAAAGAAATGAGAAGAATGGCTGGAACAATGGAACCAAAAAGGCAACTGATATAAAGGCTCACTTAGTGTCAACAACTAAATATCGTCTAATTAAATATTATTTAACATATTATTAGTTTAAGACTCAAAATCATCCCGTTGTAAAGATAGGAAAAGCAAAAATACTTTTGTGTACTTTTCATTGCGTTGTATATTCGGAGTGTCATGTACATTGGAAACCTTTTGCTCTTAATTCGCTGGCAAAACATGAACTGTTTGTAATCAAGTATTAACATCTCCTGGTCACCTCACCGGGTTTATAAGAATACCCATATTTTTTTAGTTCAGCATGCCATATGAAAGACAGGGTACAGTACCAAACGTGATTGTAGTAGTCTGAAACAGTCATAATTCTAGATAACTAAAACGGCAAAAAGGTTACATTCAACATACGGAGGCGGGTGACTGATGTAACGTTTACAACGGATGTTAGAGAATTCAAATAAGTGACAGCCAGCAGGCTGGGATTCCACAACAAACAGTTATATATCAATAAGTTTTCTTGTTTAACTCAAGCTGGTTTATATAGTGTCCATAAACATCTACATTCACTTAATGAATATTATGTAAATATTACTTATAACTATACAAAACGATTTTCATTTCTCTAAAACGTTAGACATTGCATCACAAATTAAAACAAATTTGTCTTCCATGGAATTAAACTCGGTGACCGTACATATGAACCCACGTACATTTGAAACCGTGTAAATATCTGCGGGTTTTATGAGTTCAAATATCCGTAAAACCAAAAAAAATTTTCATATGTGCAATAGCATGCAGGTGCAATTGTCATGGGTTCAAATGTACGTGGGTTCAAATGTAATGAAACCATTAAACTCTTTCCTAAGAATTATTTTAACAATTCCCGCCTACGCGGTATTTTAACAAAGAGTTTTCGTGACGTAGAGTCTCGCCGCAATGGGTTCAAATGTACAGTCACCGTAAAACTCAAGTATGAAATTGAATATTATGAATTGAATAAATGAATATTATGTAAATATTACGATATTACTTATAACTATACAAAACGATTTTCATTTCTCTTTTCTCATTTCTCGGTTACCGTACATTTGAACCCATGTAAATATCCGCGGGTTCAATCTATATGCGGGTGCTGAAACCCATGGGTTAGGGTTAGTATGGGTTCAACTATCCGTAAAACAAAAAAAATTTCCATATGTACAATAGCATGCAGGTGCAATTGTCATGGGTTCAAATGTACGTGAGTTCAAATGTAATGGAACCATTAAACTCTTTCATAAGAATTATTTTAAAAATTCCCGCCTACGCGGTATTTGAACAAAGAGTTTTCGTGACGTAGATTCTCGCTGTAAATGCATTCTTGCTGATAAGTGGGGTATTTCATTTTTCATACCAATTTTGAAATTTGGTTGCATTGCAGTCGAGCAATAATCACGGTTTGTGGTTGCGGTACAATAGCGTTCACATCGGGTATACAACCACAGTTTGATTTAGTGAAAAATTATTTACACTTTATGAACTGTAACTTATTAGTAAAGGTATTTCTTTTATTTAAGACCTGTATTGTAATTTTATCAAACAAGAGGTCTCATCTTGGTTGAAATCGGTTAGGTACCTCAACCCCTTATACCTCAAAATGAAAAGATCACCTGTTTGGGGATTTTTATGCTCAAGTATTTCTTAATACTCGATCCTAAATTGATACTCGTAGGTATTGCTAGAACAACAAATATTATTGTCAATAAAAATAATATTAAAGTCAAACAGGCTTTCTTCCTCTAACTAAACCATTAAATTTGAACTCGAGAGATATTACGTGAATAAAGAAGACTGTTTGTAAAATCACACATATTGAAATTCAATTTAATAATGTTTAAATATTATTTGCAAGCCAAATAAAATGGAAAATCGAAAACTCGACTTTTTGAGAATATGTTTACTAATTGTAGTATTTTTGACCTATACGAACTGTGACAAGTGCATTGAATGTCGGCCATTACAGGGTAAGCTATGATATAATGGGGCATGAATGTTCTTCATGAATGGGTCAAATATATTCTTGGTATCTGATTTTTCACAACGTTTCTAAGGCTTTCACAATGAAGTGCTTTATATATATATGTGTTATTGTTTCAGGAGGAGAAAGTTTCAGAGATTGTAGATCGACTAATTCATCAGTTTTTAGACGGGATGGAAACAACGTATACGTCAATTTGGTAGTTGATGTTGCCGATATCGAAATTGAATGGCTGAAAATAAAACGCCGGGTTTATAATGGAGATCTTTGCGGACCAACAATACAAATGAAACCTGGAGATACCGTTTATGTTCATATGGTAAAACAATGTTCTTATTATTCCCGGTTTATAAAATAGCTTAGAGTGAGTTTGTATTGTAATCAATCAATTTTTACCTGAAATTACATAACGTGTCGTTTAAAATGAATTAGAGATATTCAATTATTGAAACGGTATTGACTGACATTTTATACAAATTAAATATGTAATTTTCAGGAAAATCGCCTTGGACCAGATCAACCTGAAAAAGAGCATAATGATCTAAGACATCCTAACACTACAAATATGCATACACATGAACTGCACATATCTTCTCTGGTAAAATGTTTGTACAATGCGTGAATGAATCCATTCGAAATTATTGTTTAAATATTTAAAAAATTTTCTTTTCATTTTTATTTAGTCTCCGGGTGACGACGTCTTCACAAGAGTAGATCCTGGACAATTCCGCAATTATTCGTATGATATAAACATAAACCAACCAGCTGGCACGTATTGGTATCATGCTCATTGGCACGGATCCACCTGGTTTTAGGTTTGTATTGACCTTCCTATCTGTAGTAAACAAATATTTCGCATGATATACCATGTTAAAAAATAGCAATACAATGGATTTGATAATACACTGCTTAAAAGTAGTAGTAGTATATATATATATTGCTATCGTATTTCAGCCAACCTTTCCATTTATCAACCTTTTAGCTCCGTTCAATGTCGTTGCCCGATAGTGAATGGTCAATTGGAACATTTCGTAGATACAATGGTACATTGCTGACCATCAATGTTACTGAAAGCAACTTGGCAGTTCCCAGTTTTCCAACCTCTTTACCCACCAGACCAGATTTCATCAAAGACCTACGCAATATCAATAACGTGCCAGAAGAAAACAAATTCACTGTTGAACTTTCAGACGACTTTCAGGGAAATAAACAATATATGTCCAATTACTCGTTTTATTCTTTATTTTTCATGCACACAGATACGAAATACATCTTAGTTACCTGTTACTTCAATAATTTGTTAACCAATTGAGCCTAGAAACATGATCTGCGTGATGTAGCACTGGATATTTAGACATAAATTGTATTCACATGTACCGACACCATAATCAGGAAGCTTGAAAAAAACACATTTAACTTTAAAAAAAAGTTTTATTAGAAAATGAGATAAGTTGTGTACACTGGTGTAATGTCTAAAAATACATTCTTATCTTGTTTCAAGATTACCGAGTTCAAATGCTTATTGTACACGAAGTGGCCCTATAGATACCGCGTTTCCTCGAAAATAAGACAGGGCCGTATTTCAATTTTATTGGACTTATTTTGGGGGGGATGTCTTTTATTTTCATTTATCAAACACAAAAAGATTTAAAACGTGTAGGAGAGATTGTTGCTGTTGCCTAAAAAAAAATTCACGCTATGGACTAGGCCTTATTTTAAAGAGAGGGTTCGGTTCATATTAGAATCTTTTTTGAAATTCAGGTATTATTTTCAGGCTTTTATTTTAAATTTTCAGTAAATAAAGATTTTTTTTGCTAGAAGGTCATTACTTTTATTTTTAAGATTTTTTTTTTTGCTAGAAGGCCATTACTTTTGTTTTTTTCAAATATTTGAGTGAGTTCTATGTGATTTCTTATTTTGTGTGCTGCGACGTCATCAAAATCGGCGCACCTATTGGCGGTTCCGCGAACGTATATCAGCGGATCTCGTGCTCAGCGAACTTTGGTACATCTCGTGCTTAGCCGCAGTGAGAAGTTTTTAGGACATATTTACTGCGGTACCTGATCTTGTAATACCAAAGGGACACGGATTAGTTGGTATTTTAATTCACGTTGAACCGAATCACGAAGAATGACTCGTCGTCACAGGATCTAGCTATGACAGTCCCTTTACCATTACCGGTACCGAAGTGTAGTCGAAGCTGTCTCTGGTGCGTTATGGTCGAGTTGTCCGCTTCCTGTTACGGATGCTGGCAACCGCATATCATCTTCGGGAAATTAATTACAAAATATTTAGTTCTGCCCTATGTGTCCACATATTTGAACATAACTCTCTTGTTTCCGTAACAATAACCAATCAGCTAAGAGTCGGCGATGACGTAACAATGTCTAATTTAGCAGTCGATCAGTTCGCTAAGACCACAAATGTTACATGTGGTTAAATTATGCATTGCCTCTGCTCAGACAGATATTAAAGCATGATTGTAAACATTGCCTAGTTTGAACGGTTTTCCGTGTTTATTTGTCAGTTTTCAATTGTGTTTCCAAAAATTAGTTGTAAATGGAGTAATTTAATTCTCAATCCATTATGTCTGCCGATGAGCTTCAGTTTAGTTCGGTGATGTGAGGCATTAGGAACATTATTAACCTCAGGTTTAGACCTGTTGCGACTTCTGCATTTGCCGATGTAAAAAGAGGTGACGCCTGCAATTTCTTGCTCTGACCGTTATTGCGCTCAGGCCTGACCAGTGATTTCCCTACACCCCCCCTATAGGGGGTGAACACCCCCCCTAAAATTTCAAACACCCCCCCTAATTTTGAGATGCGACAGCGTTTTTAGTTCTTTATTGAAAAGAATCAAACTTCAGCGATTTGTCTTCTTACCAACAAAATATTTCAGTTCTGAAGGAATACAACATTATGCGACATTATGATCAGTTGACGAGCGTATTTCAAAATTTAATTCTTACAAAAGTCAAACAAACATGTTCAAAAAAATTAGAAATGTGTAACAAAACTAGCCATAAGTAGGCATTCATACAATGCCAGATGAGCAAGTAACTTCATTAGTCACTATCAGTTGCAAATTACTTGTTGAAACGTAGTAGTATATATTTACGGTTGAAAGCCGTGCTTGTTATCTATTCCCCGGGAATTCTATCAGCTAGATATTATAATTATTGATTTCATTACATAACAAACTGCGATGCTAGGTGTATCTAAAATCAAGCTTGGAGCCTATTTTGGTAACTATTTTCTCAGAATTTTCCCCAGCCGTGTCGTCCCGCACTTTTCCTCGCTCCCCTTTTCTGGCCCTACAATTTCATTCTGCTGTGGATTGGCTCGCCGTCAATCAACTTAGGGGGCCCTCATGTACATCGTTTCTTAAATACATACCTTTTTTTTTAAGAATACAAATAGCCTAGTTTTATCTCTAAAAGCAAATTATTTACCACCCCCTAAAAAGAAAAGCTGGGGAACATACTGGGCCTGACTTGCAATGTTTCTTGTGAATAAAAAGCAATGTAATGGTGTTTCGTTGCTGGATTCATAGAAATACTGTTTTCAGATGCGTTATGTTATTTTAGTAAAAATACCGGGCACATGTACGATGTAGCCTACCCAATGAGCATATATACAATGAGTGGAAACTTGCAAAGATTTGCTCATTTTGGTATTGTTCCCTGTATTTTTTACGTCGTCCGGCTAAATGGTTCGTTGCATATTAAGAAAACGCATTGCTCGCTGCCAAAATCCCTTGCTTCAGCCGAGTCGGGTGCGAAATTGACCGTATTGAGGTCTTTAATTATTCAATACATATTTGGTTTTGGGTTACGAAGTATGGTACGCTGAAAGCATACAACTATGAGCATATGCTTATTGGGAATGCATATCAATTAGATAGTAAACGTGGAAAAATTTGTATTCAATGGAAGAAGCATACTGAAAATAGGGAATTTGTGCAAACCAAAAAATTTGGGGGGTTATGATATTATTAACATACCCATTTTTACAATGTGCATGTACATAATTAGTGTCTTGGATTATTATAAAGCTAGAGAATGTGATTAAAATGAGGATTACAATCATATTTGTATGTCCTTTGTTGAATACAATATTGGACAACAACTTAGTACATTTTGGGGGATTAGAACTAAAAATACATGTTTACATAGATTTTGTCCTCAAAGTGAGTATAGATTAATATTAGAATTTTTAAGAAAGCATAACATAAGTAGTACAGATATAAAAGAAGATATGCATAAAACTATTTATAAAAAAATTGTTATTTCTATGACTGGGGACAGATTAATTTTTCTACGCAATTGTAATTTAAATATTGCATGTGAGAATATTCATAATAATATTTTGGCAAACTATATGAAAACCTTTAATTTCAAGTTAATGTGGGATATTTTACCAGTAAAAACAAAACCTGGAATAAGAAATATAGCAGGAAATGATATGTGTGTGTTATGTGGAAAAGAACCAGAATTTGTTAGCCATCTTTTTATGAATTGTGAATATTTTGATTATGTTTTTGATTTTATGGAAAATACTGTTAGGAATTTAAATAATGCCAGACTTTTGAAAAATTATGAAACTTGTGTTTTACTGGATTTAAGCTATTTGTTACATTCCAACATTACAAGATGTTTATTTAATTTCAATCACTAGATATAAAATATGGATACAAAGAAATTCTGTTATATTCGAAAGTAATACCCCTAATCAGCACCTAGTTATCAAACAAATAAAAACTGCAATCACTTACAGACTCAACATTGAAAAAAATAGAAAATCACCAAATTTTGTCAGAGAATTTGAAATACTAAGGAATTGTATTTGAACTATAAATCTAGTGTGTATAAATTTAGTATGTATTACAATGAACATGTCTAATATATTTAATTTTTTACGTTTATTGTACATAATCTAACTCAATATACTAAAAATTGATGAATTGTATGCCGATGCGATCAACACCTCAAACACTGATGGAATGGACATATGAAAAATGAATATTGGATTATTTATCCTACAGTACAGAATATGAACCAGTCGCCCAGTGGGGTGCGGTTATTTATGTATTTATTAGGATAATGAGGATAAGGATAAGGATTTACATATTTATCCCGGGGGAAAGGAAAGCCGATAAGACGACTTATCCATATGGCGAACCACGGCCTCTCGTCCGGTTACCATTCCAAGTCGGGCATGGGATTAGTTATATTGTTTGTTTTCGGAAGCATGGACTTGTTAGTGGAGGAAGCCGTAACCGACCAGCGGTTACGTGAATCACCCAACGGCGGCGAGGAGTCCAGCAATCCTCTTGCACATAACCATCCCTGCATGGGATTCGAACCTGCGGACCCATGCAGAGTAATTAGAGGTGCGGTGGCGAGCGTATTCCTAACGCTTAGCCCGTTGAGCCACACCGCCGCGCATGGGATTTACATATTTATCCAAGGGTAGAGGAAAGCCGAGAAGAATGCCTAAATATATGGCAAACCACGGCCTCTCTCAATCATAGCTCTGTCCTCCATATGAATCACATGGCTCTGCGAGCTATTCGTTTACTTATTAAAAATACTGATTTTTACTATTTCTCTGGGATATCTTGCCATTGAAAACAAAAGCCAGAAATTGGAAGAATAGCAGAGAATGAAATGTGTGTATTATGTAATGAAGAACCTGAGTTTGTTTCACATATTTTCATGTATTGTAAATTTACAAAAAATATTTATGAGGATTTTGTTTTAGATATATTAAAATTGATTAGAATACATTTTGTTATCAATATGATTCTTGCATAT